GGTCCTCCTGGGGAAACCTCGTTGTCACCGCTGGATTCGCCTCGAAATTCTGGTCAGAACGCACCCCAAGAGAGGTCCGGGGACAACACGTCTCCGTATCTTTCCGCCCCCCAAGAGTGGCAAGCCGGGACGGTCGGTCCCTGCTCGAGTGGGGCGGCGATGAAGCGGGGGGGGCGAGGAGAAGTGCCCTTTGTGTGCCCCAGAGAGGCCCGGGGCTGAGCTGGGGTGTTTCACCTGGAGCACGTTCTCGGTGGTGCAGTCGAAGGAGGAGGAGGAGGAAAAGGTAGCTGAGTACCATGATACAGAAGGGCCTTGCCATCATCATCTTGGAGGCCTCGTGGGGGCCTCGTGCGAGTTATTTGAGGGCCTCGTGGGTGCCTCTTCCTCGTGGGGGCCTCTTGGGGGCCTCTCGAAGCTGAGAGTTTGAAATGTCAGTTCGGATCCCCCGTCTGGGCTCTCTTGGGCTGTCTTGGAGTTCTCTTAGGGAGCGGGGCCCTCTTGGAAGCCTCTTGGGCCATCTTGGGGCGATGTTGGGAGCCTCTTGGGCCGTCGTGGAGCGTCCAGAAATCGAAAAGGTAGGAAAGCCAAACTCCGTTCTAAGCTCATGGAATTGGGAGACTTATTGGAGAGGGAGCGTGTTCCTTCATTGTTTCGGGCATAGCGGGCGTTATGGCCCCCGCCCCTCCCCACCCTATAACGTAACGCCCCCCCCCCCCGCAGTGCGCCCTGGGCACCGCCGCCGTGCGCGTCGGGATCCGCATAGGTGTCCGCAGAGGACTCCGCATAGGGGTCTGGTCCGCAGTCGTCGTCGTCGTCGTCGTCGCTCGTCGCTCATCGTGCGCGCGGACGCGGCTGGAGCCTGTTTTGTGATTTCGGGCCGATGACGGCCGTCTTCTGGGGGTGGGGGAGCCGGTGACGTCACGTTTCGCGCCGGCGGCGTCTAGGAATGCTTGGGAATGACCGAGGACGGGGAGAAGCAGCATGTAGGCGGCGATCTGCACCACAGCGCCGGTGCACACCACAGTGCCTGCGTGCACCACAGCGCCTGTGTACACCACACCGCCTATGTATACCACAGCAGCCGCGCGCACACAGCGCCAATGTGTGCCACAGTGCCCGCGGGCACCACAGCGCCTGTGCACACCACAACGCCTGCGTACACCACATCAGCCGTGTGCAATACCGCACCAGTGTACACCACTATGCTTGCGTGCGCTACAGCGCTTGTGTACACCACGGCGCGCGCGTGCACCACAGCAACCGTGCGCAACAGAACACCACTGTTGCATTTAATATGTGACAACGAATCCTTATGACAAGTTGGAACGCCTGTAGAGCCCACAGAAAACAATGGTTTTATATAGGATTTGAAGAGAAATCCTTTTGGAAAAAGGAGCGCCGCTGGAATCTACGGGTCTTCCCGAGTCTTCCCGCATCATCCGAACTCCTCCCATATGCGTCCAGGAAGCTCCAGCAGAGTTGGCCGTCCGAAATCCAAGTGGACCGACTCAGTCGACCATTTTGCCGTGCACGCTGAGATGCGCGCGTGCGCTGCACAGCCGACCCGCACGAAAAGGGGTAGGGTGACGGAAAAGGAGGAGGAAGAAAAGGAGGAGGAAAAGGAGGAGGAGGATGTGGAGGTGGAGAAGGAGGGAGGAGGGAAGGAACGTCGCATTCTACAATCTGCAGTTCCCTGGCGTGTTTTTTAGTTGTCCGCAGCAGGTCCTCACCGACATGCTCCTTCCACTCGTCCTGTGCACGCAGGCGCCGTGGTGTAGACAGGCGCTGTGGTGTGCACAGGCGCTGCGGTGCACGCAAGTACTGTGGTGTACACAGGCGCTGTGTTGCACATGGTTGTTGCGGAGTACACATTCGAAGTGGTGCACACCGTACAAAGGCCTTCTGGTGCACGCAAGCACTGTGGTGTACACAGGCGCTGCGTTGCACACGGCTGTTGCGGTGTACGCTGGCGATGTGGTGTACACGCGCGTTGTGGTGCACGCGAGCATTGTGGTGCACACAGGCGCTATTGGACAGATCGCCACTTACATGCTGTTCCTAGTTGGCCTCGGTCATCCATGGGTATTCTTGGACGCCGCCGGCGCGGAACGTGACGTCATGTAGGGGGGTGGGGGTGGGCGGGGCCGATGACGGCCGCTATCCCGGCAAATAGGACAAGGGGCTCTTGTGGTGTTGGAACCACACGGCGTGGGGGGGGCGTTACGTTATACCCCCCCCGCCGCCCCCCCCAGAACGCACGTTATCGCCGAAAATAAAGAAACGCGCTCGGGGCGTCTTGGGGGCATCTTGAGCCATCTGGAAAGCAATCTTGGGTGTCTTGTAGCGATCTTTCAGCGACTCGGGGCCCTCTTGGGTCTTGGGGGCCTCGTGGGGCCCTCTTGGCCCGGTTTTAGGCCCTCTATCCCCCATGATGCGTTCGAGCCAGGTCGTCCCGGGCAAGGGGGGGTCAAATCCCAGTTTGGGATTTTGGAAGGGGGATATATGGGGGAGAACAATGTCACATGCTTGGAGACCCACACGTGGTCGGCGGACGTACAAGCCATACCAGACAGCACTCGGTTTCCGACGACTCCTCAACGTACCAAAGGGGAGTTGTGCTAAATTGTATGGCCTGTGATGTAACTGCGTCATTACGGGCTCAATGAATTGTGCCTGATTGTGTTTGGAGCAATTTTGTCAAAGACAAGGTTGCACGCCGCAGAGCTGAAGTCCCAGCTGGCGGGCGCCGATTCTGGAATGGGCTTTGCTTTGACGCTAGGCTTGGCTGTGTTTGGTCCTGATGCGCGCTGAGGGACCACGGGTGTCAGTGGTTCGATCGGTTCGGTTGCTTCGCGGTCGGTTGCATTCGGTCGGTTCGGCTCGGTCTGTGGATGGGCCGCTGCGTCTTCTTGGGCTGCGTTCGGTCCATCTATCGATTCGGTCAGTTGTCGATTGGACTGTTGCCATGGGCATTTCTGGGCACAGTCAACCTGTCACCCTCCTCACCTCACCTCAGAAATTGTCAGGGGTGATTATGACCTAAGGTGCCCCCTGGGTTTCTGCGCATCTGTGGAGCCCCGAGGACACTCTGGGCATCGTGGGAGATGCTCGGGAAGCCGTATGAACATTCCCATCGTTTCCCTTCCCACCTGGCACCCTTGCCCACCCATCCTCCACCTGATTCCCCCTCCCACCTGGCACCCATGCCCAAGTTCAGCGCTCGGCGGGGGGCGGCGCAATACACGCGCCCCGCCGCTCCCGCTCCCGCGCGGGCGGCTGCCGCCACCACTGTCGTCGTCGACGTCGTCGTCGTCGTCGACGTCGACGTCGTCGGCGTCGTCGGCGTCGTTGGCGTGGTCGTCGTCGTTCGCATGTCGTGCCCCTGCGCGGGGGTGTTCGCGTGACCAGCCTAGAAGCCTTGCATCCTCCACCAGATCCTCACTCCTGCCCCTCTGCCCTCACGCCACGACATCTATACAGTGGGGGCGCCTATCAAGAACCGATTTGATTTTCGTCAGGGTATCCTGGGTATCGTCGCTCTGCGCGCTGCGCGGAGGCTTCCCGCAGCCGTTGAAGAAGCTGCTGCGTTCAGGGTGCTCCGGGCTTCCCCTCAGATGTACTTCGCGCGCGGGTTTTCAGTGTTGGGTTTCTTGCGAGGGTTTCTTTCGGTCGCGCTCGCGTTGTACATTTCCACCGTTCCCTGGCCAGGCCCTTCCTGGACCCAGGAGCTGTGTAGAGTAGACGGCCTCCTGGCCAAGCCGGGAGGGCTTGGCGTGTACACCGTTGCTGGGCTCAGGATGGGCTTGGGATGTGTATAGATTTCATCGCCCTATTATGCCCAGGGAAGGCACGCAGAAAGAGAGAGCGAGAGAGAGAGTTAGAGAGAGAGTCGGACGGGGCTAGGAGGGGGATACACCCGTCCCAGAGTTTTCTGCAACGTTCTCAGAGCATCCTCCAGATACGCGGGATCTCATAAATTCTCGATGTTTTCTCTTCGCTTCGTCCTGGCCTCGTCTTACTCACTCCTGGCCTGCTGCCCAGGGAACGACGCGCAGAAAGAGAGAGAGAGAGAGAGAGGGGGGTTGGGAGGATAGGGAGGAGGAGGAGGAGGAGGAAGAGGAGGAGGAGGAGGAGGAGGAGGAGGATTTTTGTTCACATGCACCTGTCCCAGGCCAGCAGTGCAAGCCAGGGCTGAGAACGGTGGCCTTGGCGATGGCTGACGTTGGCAGCGGCCCCAGGACCCCGAAAGGAAAACACTGCGCCGAGCGGTCGGCCTGCACGGCGCCCACGCGGGCAGCTTTCGCGCGAGTGGCCGCCTCCTCCTCGCGGCTGGCCTCGCGATGCCTCCCCTCCCGGACGAGCTGCCGCCAGCGAGCCTCGGGGGCGGAAAAGAGGGGGGTGATTACTAGGGGGGGGTGGACATCATGGCGGGGGCCATGATATTTCCCCAGATTTCATGGCGCCTCTTCTTATTTCAATACGTCGCTGGCCCTCCCGCTGGGCCGCGCACATGCCGCCGGTCATGATTTGCACCCCCCCCCTCTTGGACACCCCCCTCTTGGCCGCTCCCGAGAGCCAGGGGCGGCCCTGGAGCGTGGGGCACTCGCCAGAGAAGGCGGGACGGGCGCGGGCCAGCTCGCTGGGAGGGCCCGTGGGGTCGCATGGCCGCCTGCTCTCTCCGGGA